ACAGGACCACATAGAAAAAAAACCTCTCTCTCTCTCTCTCTCTCTGTATATATCTATATCTATATCTATATATCTATATATCTATATATCTATATAGATATATAGATATAGATATAGATATATAGATATATAAAATATATAGATATAGAGTGTATGTGTGTATATATGTGTATATATAACAACACAATTTCAGAGAAGAAAGGAAACAAGCATTTATTAAGTGCTTACTGTGTGCCAGGCACTGTGCTAAGTGCTTCACAAATATCACTTCATTTGATCTTTACAAAGCCCCTGAGAGGCAGGTACTACTATGATCCTCATTTTACATCTGGGGGAAACAACGCAGAGGTTAAGTGACTTGCCTAGAGTCACACAAACAGTAATTGTCTGAGGATAGATTTGAATTCAAGTCTTCTTGCCTCTAGGCCCAGCAGTCCACCCACTGCACTACCTAATTGCCCCTAGGGCACTAGCACCTTAGGGGCCATGACAGGTCTCCTGGAGAAGAGAGTGCTTGAGTTACTCTTTGAAGAGCACCAAAGGTTCTAAAAGGCAGAGATGAGGATGGAGGACATTCTAGGCATGGGGGGAAGCCAGTACAACGACAGAGGGAAACAGAATGTAGTGTGTGAAGAACAGCAAAAAGGACAGCGTGGCTGGAGTTTGACAGGCCCACAGCGTGGCTGGAGACAAAGCCCTCACTCAAACTCCCTTCCTCTTCCTGGTCCCTTGTCTACCTCTAGAGAATATCTCACTGTTAGGGGATGAGATGTCCCCAGCTGCTCACCTTCGCTTGTAACAGTTACTCAGACCTTACTGTTGTGCTTGTATGCTTATATCCTTGAACGGCTATCTATTGGGGAATGGATTTTGGTGACATGTGAGTGTACATATACATATATAGGTTGTTTTAAACCTATTAGAGAAATTTGACATAATTTTTCCCCCTCTTCCACAACTATTTCACTTCTATCCCAGGTGCATTGTTTTTGTTTATGGAGATTTTCAGTTTAATGTTATCAAATTCATGTATTTTATTGCTTGTAATTGCCTCTATGTCTTGTCTTACTTTAAGAATATATCTTCTACTCATAGCTTCAAGAGGCATATGACCTAATTCTATTCTTTTAATGTTATGATCTTTAACATTAAGATCAAGTATTTATTTCGAATGTATTATGCGTTGTGCTGTAAGGTATCAGTCCAATTTCTACCAGATCGCTTTCTAGTTTTCTCAGTTTTTATCAAGTAGAGAGTCTTTCCTAACTAAGTAGTTTGTTTTCTGGCTTATGGAACACTGGATCAATGATTTCCAGTGTTTCTGATTCTCCCTTTTCTAGTCTGGCCCGGGACTCTACTTCTCTATTTTTTTAATCAATACCAGATAGTTTTGATGACTGCTGCTTTATATACAGTTTGAGGTCTTAATTCTACCTTCACTTCTACCTCTTTTCATAATTTTCCTTTATATCTATCTTTTATTTTTTTCAAATGAATCTTAAAAATTACCTTATCAAGATTTATAAAGTAAATTCTTGATAATTTGATTGATAAAGCATTAAAATATTCCCCAACTTTGGTAGAATTGTCATTTTTATTATATTGGCATGACCCAGCCATGAGCACTAAATATTCCTCTAGCTATCCAAGTTGTTCTTCATCTTTTTAAGGAGAACTTTATAATTGAATCAATACAAGTATTTTGTGTGCTTTGATAGATTGATTCCCAAATATTTTTTGCATTTTGTAGTTATCTGGAATGGGATTTCCCTTTGCCAAAGTTATTCTTTCAGTACCTTCACCGATTCCCTGGGATTTTCTACCTATATCACTATGTCACCAGCAAACAGGGAGAGCTTTATCTCCTCCTTACCTATGTGTATGCCTCTGATTTTTTTCCTCTTGTCTTACTGCTATTGTTAGCATGTACAGAACTATATCAATTAATAATGAGTTGATTTAGCATATCTGCATTAATCCTATATTTATTGAGAAAGTTTCTAATGTGTTTCCATTATATATCATGCTTGCTTTGGATTTTAGATACTTTTAGGATATAAAAAAGTCTCTATATGTTTACAGAGTTTTTTAGCATAAACTGGTATTGTAGTTTGTCAAAGGCTTTTTTCTATACATATTGAAATAATCAAGTATTATTTGGACTTTTTAAAAAAATATGATTAATTATATAAATTGTTTTCCTAATGTTGAACAATCCTTGTATTTCTGGTATAAATCCAACTCAGTCATGATGGAAGAATTCTTGGATGAAATGCTATGGTTAGTTTGACAGGACTTTATTTAAAACTTTAAAATCATTATTCACTAAGTGCATATAGAGGTCATTAATCCTCTTTTTTCTATGTTGTGAATGTATGTTTTTTAGGGACATAATTTTCCCCTTGAGGACTGCTTTGGCTGCATCCCATAAATTTTGACATGTTTCATCATTTTTACCTTCTTTAACATATCTGTTAATTATTTCTATGATTTGTTCTTTGACCTAATCATTATTTATGATTTCATTGTTATGTCTCCATTTGAGCGTGTGTTTTTTGTTTGTGTTCTCTGAATTGATTACTAGTTTTTACTGTTATGCTCTGTAAAGGACGCATGTCCTATTTTGTCCTCTTTACGTTTGTTTGTAATATCTCTGTGTCTTAATAATACATGGTCGATTTTTATAAAAGTTTCACATGGAGCTAGGCAACATGCAGAGTATTTAACAATCCTGTTTCGAAGATTTCGTAAGCCAACTGTTGGTTCTAGTTTTTCCAATTATTTGTTCAATTACACATTTTCCACCTTCTATTAGATCTGTCTAAAACAATGAGACATTAAAATCTCTTGCCACTACTGTATTACTGTCCATATATTTTTTGTAATTCAGTTAATTTTTAGCTTATGAATTTAGATGCTAGGGCATTCAGGACATGTAAGTGTAATATTACTATTGGTCTGTTAGCTTTCAGCATAATGTGGTTTCCTTGTTGAGGTACTCTTGTCCTGACATACCCATGAAAGGTAGGCCTCTAACTCACAAACCCAGACCTGATGGAACATTTTGATCTCATTATAACAAAACCCCTCTTCTGCTTTGTACAGCAAACTCCTCTCACCATTAAAGAGAAAGAACTAGAGAATTTTACTTTCTTAATTAGTTTGAAGGATGGCAAGGCCCTATCAGATTGATTCTAGGCCTGCTTTTCCCTACCTTGCTCTCTTTCACCATAGAATAGCATATATGAGCCAAGAGGGGACCATGGAGAGAGAGGGAAATAACAGAAACGGCTGTTTTGTTTTCAGTTGTATCTGACTCTCCATGACCCTATGCGGGGTTTTCTTGACAAAGACATCGGAGTGGTTTACCATTTCCTTCTCCAACTCATTTTATAGATGAAGAAACTGAGGCAAACAGGGCTAAATGACTTGCCCCAGTCACACAGCTAGTAAGTGACAGAGGCCAGATTTGAAATCAGGAAGATGAGTCTTCCTAACTCCAGGCCTGGTGCTCTATGCACTATGGTGCCCACCAGCTGCCTAATGGAGGCTGTTATGAAGGATGTTTGCTCTGTATTTCCCTTCATGACTCAGCAGAACTTTCTGAATTGGACTTGATGGTCAGCTTAGAACGCAGAAACGTTTATGAAGGTGAAGAAGCCAGTTCACTCCTATGATGGGGACCTTTCGTAAATAAACAAATGCTGACACACCGCTCTATGCCGGACTATCAACTAGTTGCTGAATGTGTGTACATATGAGTGCGTGGATTCAGGACGGGCGGCAGTCTGTCTCTGTGAAAAGGATCTGCCGTCTGAGTGAGGTACTTATTTAGATGCTAGTTACTAGACACTGTCTGAATTCTCTTGGAAGAATTTGTGGTGATCTTGCTAACCTTCCCTTTGTTTCTCAATAGGGACAGAGGTACTTACTTCATAGGAAAAAGTCTAAAGAGATTCCATAATGCATAGGAGATCCAAGAGACTACAGGGGAAATGGAAGGGCGGAATAAACATTTTAAAATAAATATACAAAATTGCTAAATTTGTGCTAAAACTGAACTTTGAAAAACATGTCTATTAAGCACCTACCATGTGCCAGGGACCACACTAAGGCACTGGGGGAACAAATACAAAATGCAGAAATCCCTTCTCACAAGGAGCTTAGTGTAGTGAAGTACACGCATAAATGTACACAGAATACATACAAAGTGAATAAATATCCAATGTATCCAAAGTAGTATAGATGGCAGGGCACTAACAGCTGAGGGAAATGGCAAGAATGACCTCATGTAACTAATGGTGCTTCTGCTGCATCTTAACAGAAAAGAGAATTTATGAGGCAGAGGTAAAGAGGGATGCCTTTCAAGCACGTGAGATGGTCAGTACCAAGCCGCAGACATGGAAGATGCAGCATCAGGTGTGAGGACTAGAAAAAAGGACCAGTTTGGCTGACCAAATGTGGGAAGGGGAGTAATGTCCAGGGAGGCTGGAAAGATAAGGTGTGTGGGTGTGGGTGGGTAGGGGGGTGTTAAACACTCAGCAGAGTTCCTAGAGGCAAGGGAACGCTAATGGGATTGATTTAGTTGGGTCAGGTAATAAGGCCAAGGTTTCGGCAGTTCTCACGCACATAAGGTCTCCCACCCACAAGAAAACTAGATTTATTTCACACATTTTAAAGGGCAGCCAATTCTCTCACCTACAATTGTTTGGTGACACTATCTTGAATTAGTGTAAGATACGAATGAAATGTGTCCAGGTCTCCATAGACAGGTATAAGCTGCTTATCCAAAGAACAGGAGGAGCCCTGATATTGCCTCCAACTCAGTCAGTGGGTCCATGTGAAGAGGGACCAACCAAAACCCTCAATGGAGCCCTACTGGAAGTGACCATACGCAGTTATTTTTAATCACCAATACTGCAGTTAATTACCATAGACTTCTACATGAGACTCATAGTTATTACACTGCAAGAAGACATCGGCTACACCAGACTCACCAGACACGAAAGATCCCCACTGACCGACAGTACGCCTGGGCCTGGGCAGGGAGGGAGCTAATCCATAAGGGTCTAGGTTTTGGCTGGAAGCAGAAAGGGTTCTGAGTGGAGGCGGCATGGGGCAGCTTTACTGGGATTCCATCAAGTTGACTCTAAATCTCCTGTTATAGAATGGAAAAAACAGATGTTACTTTTATCCAAAAAAAAAATCAATTGAGAGAACATTAATAAATGCCACCCTGAAAGCCTACTTTCTTATCTTGGCAACATTGTTTTTAAATGTTTTACTTAAAAATAATTTTTATTGCTATTCTTTGTTTTCACATCATCTACATTTCCTGATAATCCTTCACTCTCTCTTTCCATACAGTTATGTCCTATAACAAAGACTAAAAAGAGGGTTAAAAACAAACAAGTCAGCAAATCTAATCCACACATCAAACAAGTATGACCACACTTAGCATTCTATAACCACAGTCTCTCAACTCGGCAAACAAAGGAGGGAAGTCTATTCTCCTCGCTGTCTGTGAGGCCAAGTTTGCAATGTCACAGCATTCAGTTTCTACTGTTTGGCCCTTGCCAATGGGGGGAGGGAACGCCTTTCTGAAACGATCCATAGTAGATGCTTATTTTGTTACTGTTGTTGAATTCAGAACAATGCAAGTCCAGCCACGAGGACCTTCGGTGCAGACGGGGGCTGCAGTCCTGTTTTGGTCTTAGCTTTATATATTAGGTTGAATATTTCTGTTGGAGACCAAACTAGAGATGACTGATTTGGGGATGCTCTGAAGACTCAGCACTTCCCTCTCATAGAGGAAACTGTTAGCAGCCCATGGCTGATGGTTTTGAGTTAAACATTTGCTTTGAACTGGTTCCAGGTTAGATGGGTAGGTACAAAAGAAAGAATTAGATGAGTAGGCCCATGAAAATAGCAACTGGAATGTTTTTTATGCTACCCCATCATTTCTTCCCACCTTGGAGAGAGAAATCTGATCTGGAATATAGTGCCGATCGTTTCTGAATTTATAGATTAGATTAGCAATTGGGACTCATATTTTATTCAGCCATGTATGTCTAGGAGGAATCTTGATCCTCCTGTGTAAATATAACAAGCTATCCTCAGTGGAGATGCGGCAGATAAAATCAGTCCCGAGCCAAGTCATTATGCTTCTCTTCTCCCTCTATTCTTCTTTCTCCTTCATCTTAAATAAGCTGGGAGGATGGGAAACCAAAGCATTTTTAAGGGGTTACTGCATATTGCCCAGTACTGAGCTAAGCAATGGGGATATAACATAAGCAACTAAGACAGTCCTTGCCCTCCAGGAGATTACATTCTAATAACGGAAGTGAGCACATAAAGGGGAGCTAGAATTGGAAAGGTAGAAATGGTGAATGCATGTGCCGTGGTATAGTTTGGAAGTGGCTAAGAATTGGTATGGTGGCCTGGCTTTAGGCAAGACCAAGTGAAAACTAATCTATAAGGGTCCAAGTTTTGGCTGGAAGGAGAAAACGGTCTGAGCGGTGGCAGCATGGTTTGTATAATAAATGTTTATTGTATCATGTCACATCATAGAATACCTGACTAGGAAGCGAAAATGTGGCCTGGTCCCAGAAAGATCAGGGGCAGGCTCATTGATCAAAGATGAGGGCACAGGGGGAAGAGTCTGAATTTTGATGGGAGACAGATGAAAACCAGAATGGCGAAGACTAGCCATGGTTCAGAAATGGTCAGTTATTACTACCATCATCTGGTAGATTTTATTCTCATGTTTTGATGAATAAGGATGATGGTAATTATCCCCATTTTATATTTGGTAGAATTCAAATGGAAATGGTTCTCTATCTTACTATTATCCATTTATGCTTACTAAATGACAGATGGGCAGTAGATAAAATGATCACTTTTTTTTTTAATAGAAGGGGTAGAGTGTAAATTCCTCTTATGTAGGCTCAGTAATGACATGTTTGGGACAACTCCAGAAACAAAGATGTCAGGGCAGGTACAGATTTCATCCTGTCTGCACATGGTTTTGATTTCTCCTAGATTTTGAGTTGTTCATTCCATGGAATCTGGAGGAGATGGATGCTTGGTCTAGTAAAAATGCTTTTCAAGACATTGTTCTTAGATTTCAGGCAAGTTGGTGTTAATAATGCCCAAGCAATCATGGTGACAGCTTTGTCTGTGATGATGTTCTACTCCTAGGATAGATCATTTGTTGAATTGTCAGGGATATGTTCAGGTCTATATCTGGTGTATGAGGATTTGCCCTCTGTCAGCTAACGATAAAGGGTAGAGTTATGGTGTGTGTGTGTGGCCACTCAATGATTTTTCTATATTTACTAGGGCAAGTACAGTGGGAACAGCATGTCTCTAGGATCAGAGGACCTGGGTTCAAAACCAGCTTGAAGTTGTTATATAGTCCAAATGACACGTTTACCTCACTGGAAAAAGATGCCAGATGAAGGATCTGTGTAGTTTTATTTTTTCACTGGCGTCACATGGCTCAAAGTCATCCACACACATCAAGTGGCTAATCAGTTGTTTCGTTTTGGCCCCTTTTTTAGTCTGGAAGCTATCCTTCGTTCTTTTTAGGAGACATCATAGTAGACTTAAGGTGAGACAGACCCATCATGAGTTTAAACTCCCTCCTGGGAAAAATGTTATGCTTCACGTCAATTGTGCTTGATGCTACTGTGACGATGGCCTTTCAAAGACAGACAACAGCCTCCCATGAGGATACAGGATTACATCATGTTCTCACTGCACTTGAGTTGATTTTATATGGTTGCAGTGTATGAAAATAAGTCATGAGTGCACAGTTGAGCCCAAGGCTTTGCAATAGTCAATGAAAAGAGTATGTAAGTGTGTATACATATATGTGTGTGTGTGTGTGTGTGTGTGTGTGTGTGTGTGTGTGTATATATATATATATACACATATATATATGCATGTACATATCCTACACACAAATGCATAAAGGCAGCTTATTATGGACCACCAGTTACCCTTCAGGCATATTAGTTAATATATAACAACAACATTTTGTCCTCACAACAACCAAAGTCTGCCAACATGCATTTAGTAAATATTTTCTGTGTGTCAGGCACTGTGCTAAGTGTTGGGAATAAAAATAGAGGTAGAAAGACAGTCCCTGGTCCTCAAGGAGCTTCCATTCCAATGGGGGAGGGGGAGAGACAAAGGTAACTAGGCACCTAGGTGTGGTGGAAGTCCAGAGCACTGCCTCCAGAGGAAAGAAGTTATTTTTATCCCACTTTACTTATTTCTTTTGTTCCTTGTGCTTCTTCGACTCCTGGTATAGTCTGAGCCTTTTAACTTTCCCTTTCAACTGTTGATTGATGACACCTAGAACTTGGGATATCCTTTTGTTTTCCAGATTCTTTCTCGCTGGTTTGTTGTTTCCTTTAATTGGGCGAGATGCCCAATTAGTTTTCATGACTTCCATTTCGGCATTCTCCATTCAAACCCAACTGGCAGACTTGCTACTCCCTATTATCTGACATCCACCTCGGTCCTCTCTGCCAGGAATGCCCTCAGTCTCTGCCCATCTCCACCTCTCACAAGTCATTGTTTTCTTACAGGTTTCACTCATATGCCACTTCTGTGGATGACTTTCCTGACCCTCCTAGTTATCCATGTTCTCAACCACTCCTCAGATCAGTGGTCTTTTTTTTTGCTTACAGGTCATTCCTGCCCAGTGCAATGAAAGGTCATTAAAAGCAAAGGACTGTTCGCTGTTTTGCCTTTGTATTCCTGGGGTTTAACTCCATCGTCTGGAAGTCTAGGGAAGTCAATAAGGGAAATCAACAATTAAACATCTACTATGTCCAGGCTGTGGGCTAAGCACTGGGGAGTACAAAAAAAGGCAAAAGACAATCTCTGCCCTCAAGAAGCTCCTTATCTAATGGGGGAGAAAACATGCCAACACTATGTACAAACATGATGTCGGTGGCATCAATGAGAAAGAATCTCACAAAGAAGGTGCCAGTGTTGAGGGGACCAGGTAGGCTTCTTGTAGAAAGTGGGACTTTAGCTGAGAACGCAGTAGATGCTCCATAAATGCTTGTTGGATTGACTCAGATTGGGGATGGACAGCACCAGGCATCCCAAAGCAAGAGTAGAACCTGACCGTGCCTGGTGTAGTTCCCAGTGCCTCCACTGTCAATTCTTAACCTCAACCCCACACTCAGGAGATTCCACCGTCAGCACTGTTCCTTTTGCCAGACTTCCGGGGAAACAGAAATGACTATTAAAATACAGAGTGGAGACTGACTTAAACTGACCGTCTTCCTTCTACTTTTAGAACTTTATTAATCTTCCCCTACTCTCCCTACACACCTTGAGGTTACTTCAGAACTATTAAGATGAATCAACAAAACGTGTTAGATATAATACATTACAGGAGTGGAAAAAAAGGTTCAAGATCCTTAGGTCTAAAAAAAATGACATTTTAATCGAATTACAACAGCTCCTTAGAGCACCCTGTCAGAGTACCTTATAGTGCTTTTTTGATCAAATTAATGATTTTATAGTAAATTGCCCAAGGTGCATCTATTCCCCAAATGATTGTAGTATGGAATTGTCTTGTGATAAATGAGATTCAGGATTTGAGGCAGTAAATTTTTGACATCTTCTGGGTCGGCCACCAAGTCCTGCCCACCATTCCAGGCTGCAGTGGGCACGTGCATCTCTGTCACATTATAAAATGGAGGCATACTCTGAATCAAAATGAGGATAGACAAAAGATTTCATAGGAAGTCATGATTTAGAAGCTTCCATTTCTTTAAATGATGAAATGAACCTATTTTAAATGAGTTCTAGAATGACCTATCTCTAAAAAAATTATTGGTAAAAAGTTATGAAGGTACAGAGATTAGCATTCTTTTGAAATTAAGCTGAAAATTAGACTTATACATACATATATACACATATGTATATACACGTGTGCACACACTCCTATACATGTGTATATACACATACATACACATAACTATCTAAGCTTATATTTGTGTGTATATGTATATATATGTATACATGTGTATATATAGTATGTGTATGTGTGCGTATATATGTGTGTATATATATATGTGTGTGTATACCTATATCTATATATAGGTATGTATACACACCCACACAAGA